CCAATAATAACGGGCGTACTACTCATGGGGGATGTATATCATGCTACAGTACAAACCTAGACAAGGGAATCAAAGGTAAAATATCTATTTTGATCCCATGCACTAAATATTCACAATAACATTGACAAGTGGGTGAGAATATGTGGCAATGATAAGGAGGTCAATGTGACCATCTGGTATTCTTCCTCAGCCGCCCATCACATTTTGATATACAATGTTTTTCATTATTTCGACCATGAGGATACATTGAAATATGTCTTCAAATAAACAATTTGTATGGAAGTTTCCCTAACCAAAGTTATTTTGTATTTCAGCTATAATAAGAATAGATCATTTTGTTCGTCAGAAATACCGTGGTGTTGAAAATCTGTATGTGGAACTCTGTAAGAAAACCTATTTGAATAATGTGATTGATTGATTGATTAATTAAGCAACTGTGTAAGGTCCATATGCAATTGACTGAACGATGGTTATCCATAAAATGTTGTATTATATGAAATGTCCACTTAGTCTTCAATCCGATGGTTTAATGTGAATGAACACAGTCAAAAAGACACGGATGTCACATGTGAAAATAAACAGTTTATTGATACTAATCCGAATTCGGACGTTCTTGTACAAGTGACCCATCATATATGTGACAATTCTAAATTATAATATCAAAGTGTGGACGGTGAGATAGCGTTCTACGTTGCAGACTAATTCGATAGCAAGTATTCGACCAAACATCACTTTCGCATAAACAACAATGTTGAACGATAACAACCTATCGGACAATTGTCCATACAAACATCATATGTGACATTAACAGAGAACAACCACTAATTCATTTTCTTAGTCTTCTCACCAATGACGAGACGGACGTTAAAGTAAATAAAACACTCAACCATTCTGTGATTCGTTTCATTTTCTCAAATTTCAGTTGAGAATAGATTCCTATTAGAAGCAATAAAAGTGATAAGTAAGTAACCTATTGGATCACATTTACTGACAATTATTATATGAAACAATATTTGATGGAAACGTGTTGTATAAAGACTGTGTGCTTGAATGATGAAAGTGAGTGAAGTAGAGTTTCGAACTACTACAGCTGAGTCCATTAGATTCGATACATGATTCCAGTTGAATTGAAATATCTATTCAAATAGTTGTGTTGAGATACAGTTGACACTTGACCGACCACGCGATGATTATCTGAAACATGGCATCAGTGAGATCGCTATCATGTTGTGAAGAAATAAATACAATCATGTTGATCAAGATCTACTCAACCGTCTTACTTCTGTCCATTCGTTTATTTCGAATATACACTTGTGTGATTTATCATATTGCTTATCATTCTATATCTTTATGTTTCAATTGTAGATGATAATCGACAGTAAACTAATTTGAATTTGAGAATAATGATCTGGACTTCAGCCAGTTTTTGTTTTTTTGTTTGTTTGTTTACCAACATTTTGTAACAACGAATTATTTACTATCAAAATAACGAGTCATAAAATGTTTTCCTTCATTACAAAATCCGGTGTTTGAATTTCAACATTATTCACTTACAATTAAAATTGAAATTGTGGATGGTGCAAATGAGAATAGTAAGAAGAATATGGTGAATAAAATTGTTGAATGATAGTCATTTGCTGAAATGACAACTGATTTCTGCTAATCCAAAACTTAATCGCAATCTGTTCATCTCATTCGACATTCTGAAATTATCTTTTCTAACTGGAGTTCATGTATAAATATGAACTAACTAACTAACTAACTAACTAACTAACAAGTATCATTACACTATGAGTTTCTCACTATTAGTCATTTACTAGAATAAAACAAACATTCAACCTGCATCGATCATAAAATTCAGGCTGAACCACAGTATTGCTCCCTTTTATTAAGTAACACTTTATGCACTGTTATGTTCGAGGGATTAGTGCTGCCTAATACAACGACTGTTAGCCATACAACTACGAGACAAGCCAAGCTATTCCACTGCACCACAGTATGACTTACTAGAGATGGAAAACCATATTAGGTCGAATAAATAGTTCTTCCGCAAGCTGTTCATAAGAACGAACGAACGAACGAACGAACGAACGAACAAGCAATCGACTCACACGTATATATGAGATGCAAATGTTGCCTTGAAAAACGTCGGTAAAATCACACTAGAAGAGAAAAATGAACGTAATAATGGGTGTTTACGGTATTAACGTAGGAAACGAGAACTTACGCAGGCAAACTAATAAAATGAGAAATTCACTAATGATTTCTGAACATCTAGCCTTCACAACATCCACTGAGTAACTAAGTTCAGTAAGTCACCATTTCACTCCATCAGTCCAGTTCTTATATCATTGCCAGTTGTTATGGTTTTAGTTAGCAGATAGTCGATACTACAGATTGTGTTTTGATCAGTGTTAGTTAACGAAGTAGCATTCTATGAGCTGCATAGGGGCAAGTAAACACATACATTCACATTGAACTGGTCAAACAACAAAAATCGACTTTCACGTTGGTGTTTTCTAGTGATCAGATAGTCAAGAATACCTGTACCAACATCATACACAATCGTCTTAATAAGTAAACTAATTGATTGATTTCATTTAGAAGAAGTTGATGCATGTTGTGGTTAATACTGAAAATTAAAGAAGTCAGTAATTAGTTACAGTTCAGTCTGTATCTGTTCACTAATCAATCGGAACAGGTTATGAAAACATCTGTTCTGCAAGATAAATCTTGGTTAAAGCAACAACACATACATCTACATGATTTCCTTTCAAAATACAGATAAATTATACTTAACAACATAAAAGTAGTATAAATATATATTTAAGAAATATTTCATGAACATTGATCAAACAGTAGAAAAGTGATCAATGTTTGAAAATAGTAGTTTTCTAATGTTTAGAAGTGATTGTACCCATATAAAGTATGGAATATACACAATGCTTATGAATATTTTCAAAAGAACCAAGTACTTTCACCTTCCCAATTATTCAAAGTTATTTAATAATCAATCTCAGAAGGAAATAACTTGACATGAATTCAAGTCAATTTAATGATAACGAATTAATTGATAAGAAATTCAGTCATATTCTAAGTGTAGATTGGAAATGTAGTGATTCGATTCTTGGAACAAAGTATGACATGAAAAAGCTGTTATGATCTCTCTCGAACCGTTAAATCTATATCACCATCTCATGTGTTCAGTGGTAAAGTTTGAGGTGATGTTGGGCCGAATGAGATAATAATAGTAGAAATAGTAATAATACTGCGGTAACAGAAATCACTTAGAAATGATCGTTAAAGTTTGGACTAGTGTAGTTAGTAATCTCAATGCTTTATCAATTAACATAAATTAAATGTTGTTTCAATGATATCTTCGTATTGTAAGTGTTGAATAATAAAATTGACCAGTCTCCATTCTCTTTTGTGCATCCTGAGGGAACTGCCACCATCTTAACTATCAGTTACGAGTTCCGGTGTATTTGTACAGTGATTATTAGTATGACGTAGAAGGTATAGACAACATATCAGATGAAGCATTTTATTCAGATATGGAGGTAACTACAAAGATGAGCCTTATTATCTTCACGTCACTATAGATCGTCGATGAGCAATCAGTTGAATGGAGTCTATCACTAAACACCAACTTCCTTGACTACTAGAAAGTATTTGACTGTGTAGATAAGAGAGCCTTATCGAAACTACTCTGACACTGTGGAGCACCTGGATACGTCACCTCCACCACACAAATAATTTACGAGTGACTGAAGTCCAGAGTCGTACCTGAATAGTAACTCTCAGTTAGTTTGTTTCGGAACTCTCCCTTATTCTGAAGGTTTACTAGATTGTGAAGAGCAATATCGCTACAATTGAAAGAAATATCGTACTTGAAAGAACCTCCCGTCAATACAAAAGTCAAAATCTTCAATACAAACGTCAAGACATTTCTGTTGTGCGGAGTAAAAACGTGTTGAACCACTATCACCATCATCAGCAGATAGAGATATTTATGAACAGTTGTTTACACAAGATACTTCAGATCCGATAGACACTAAACATCAGCAACAACATACTGTGGCAGAGAACAAACCAACTTCTAGCTGAACAGGAATTTATTAAACGACTCAAGAGGTTAATTTGACTCACATTATGGAAATCATCAAACTGAGTCACCAGTCAAGCTGCGAATTAGAAATATGATAGCCATAAGGAGATTTTTCGTCAGAAATTTAAGGCACAAATCAAAACAATAAATAACGCTTGACAACAACTGAAACGGAGAGTTTAGTATGGGACAATTGAAAGAATCCTGATCTGAGGCCCATGTTCCACGAGCTGTAAACGACCTAAGTAATATATTTGCGAGTATGAAGAAGTAATTAAAAGTGTTATTGGATGAGTCGATAAGTAAGTTGTAAAATAAACGAATAATCGTACATTGTTCATTGTTCATCAGGCGAAATACATAAATTTTTCAGATACATAGTTATCTGAATATCACTTTTATAGATTGTCTAATTTTGATAAAATTCTCTTTTCTAATTAGCAGTAAACAACACTGTTCAGTTTATTTGTCTTACTTTTGAAAGGTCGTCTGATCTCAATTGTTCTCTTTTCAGTAAACACAGACTTTATTCTTGAATAATAATAAGACGAACTTGATTAATTGATGGTTGAATATTCTTTTAGAGATACTGATATCGGTCAAAGAATGTATGCAATGTGTGTTTGTCTGTACTTTATTCATTCATTGAATGAATTTTGCATAGTTTCTAAATGTTAATTAGATTGTTTAATCTTTTATATGGTAATTAATATTCACATCATCTTCCTTCTTCATTTCATCATCGTATATAAGCAGAAGAATAAATTCTGTAGTTTCAATGAATATGGTTCGTTTGGTTTTGGTTCACGTTGCTTCACTGTTTTTGCTCCTTCAAACATCCAAACAGACTGGTAAGTTATCAGTACTATTGAAAATGCCCTTTTACAAATACATGCTGAGATATTCACGTTTGATCCAGTATACAAACACAATATTATCACCATCATATTTGCCATCTCTATCATCATCATCATCATCATCATCATCATCATCATCATCATCATCATCATCATCATCATCATCATCATCATCATCATCATCATCATCATCATCATCATCATCATCATCATCATCATCATCATCATCATCATCATCATCATCATCATCATCATCATCATCATCATCATCATCATCATCATCATCATCATCATCATCATCATCATCATCATCATCATCATCATCATCATCATCATCATCATCATCATCATCATCATCATCATCATCATCATCATCATCATCATCATCATCATCATCATCATCATCATCATCATCATCATCATCATCATCATCATCATCATCATCATCATCATCATCATCATCATCATCATCATCATCATCATCATCATCATCATCATCAGTCTTACATGATTTCATAAATCTGATGTGTAGTGTTTGCTATTTGTGTTAATTAATGTACTTCAAATACTGTTTTGGCATATTTGCCTGTTTTATACATTTGTCATTTAGGCCTATTTTCTGATTAATGTTAACAATAGTTCTAGAAAATTATGATACTATCATTGACCGGAATATTGATTAAGTAGGAAAATGCTTGTTTCTATTGAAAACTATTCATTATTCGTCAATCATTGATCTTCTTGTTTCAAGTATCAATTGTGCTATATATTGTCATAGTAATAATTGTCCATCAGTCGAAACACAGTCACTAACTTTCAATCAATGAAACCTTTATCTAATTGTTACTTTGAAGTCATAAATGAATCAATACAAATACTACTACTGATCAAACGATATGAAACAATGTTATAATGAATAAGTAGGTGTTCAGTTGATCGGTTGACAGATAAACGGTTTTAACTAATTTATGATGAATAACACGTTTAAACGATGGTCCATTACAAGGCTTTATTTTCAATAATCTTTTCAAACTTGATATTCAATACATGAAGTGATTTGACTCAGTGTACTTGAAAGTGAACGTCAGTTCTTGAAAATCAACTGAAGTAATTATTATAAATAAAAGCATATTCCCGAAGAACTTGACACTGCGAGGGATTAAAGCTTTTAACAGTGCAATAGCTCGGCATCTACTTGACACCGAGCATACCGTCGATATTCGGTACGCGTTTAAAATTACCAATCGACCAAGAAGTACTACCATTCTCCGCTTTGCTGAAGCCATTGCAATTAAGAAACTGAAACCGGATTTATGCATTCCAAAAGAGATTTTAATAAACTTATCACTACCCTGGTAATCTCTTTTGTTTCCGTTTGTTGTTTGTGTGTTTTGGTTATTTTATTCATTTACTTATTTTAAGATATTTTATACTCCCCCCCCCCTATTACCTAATTCTTAAACTAAAATTTTATTCGTTTAAAGATCCCCATCATATTCAATGACTAATGTTTGAACGAAGAATATTCTTTTCGATAAATTCTCTTCAGGTTCTACAATTATCCCATATCCAAATTAATAATCCGAAAAAATGGCCAGGTTAAGGGGGAAAGTACATCGTTTAGAGCATGTGAATTTAGGATTGTGATAAAGAAAATACAATAAAATTGTTAATGTTAATAGGACTCATATCAGAATGTAAACTTGAATCTGTGTATATGTTAAGTGAAATCTTTTAAGATCCATGATCAGAATAAATATGGGTCAAATAGGGTGAGACAGAAATAATAGTGCAATTACAATTCGATCAAATAAGTACGACGTAATACAGAGGGATGAATGAGAAGTGAATGAATCATGTATAGGAGAGATTAATGATGTTTAACCAATAATACGAATAACAATAATAATAATAATAATAATAACTATAATTATACAAAGATTTCTGAATAAAGATAACAGGGACAATTACAATTGACTACGAAAGGTCATAGTCAAATTGGGTCATTCAATAGTTAAGATTACGATTGATTAATTGGCCTTGATGTTGTCCAGGGGAGGAGGAGTGGCTGAATATATTTCTTCTGTACGCATAGCTCCGGTTTCTTCATTCGGATGGCTACTGCTTCAGCCGTTTGAAGGACTTTCAGTCCTAAATTCACATACTCTAAACGATGTACTTTCCCCCTTAACCTGGCCATTTTTTCGGATTAATAATTTGGATATATGAATTGTAGAACCTGAAGAGAATTTATCGAAAAGAATATTCTTCGTTCAAACATTAGTCTTTTAAAATTTTATTCACACATTTCCATCACCTGATCCTCTTAAATGATCTTAACGTTCCAAACCCTATTTAATTATTATTACGTAATCTACCTGATGTGTTATTTAATTCCATTAATCTCTACAATTATCACACAATTTATGAACTTCACTAAATTATTACACCACCCACCCTGGATTAACCCCCCTTCTTTTGACCTCTGACCTATTTCTAGCATATATATATAGTTCTTATTGTAATCCAGTTATTTACACTCATCTATGTCATCTCCATGTCAAACAAATTCTATCACAATTTTGGTTTGTAAGCAGCTGACGACAAAACCTCGAAATAATATGAATTCATACTATTCTGCATCAATGTTTGTTCTTGCTCTATTTAAATAAAAGTAATAGATTTGTAGATATCCCAATGAGTAGAACAATTAGATTTTCTGATGTTTCGTCACTTAGTGTAAGTCACTTCTTCAGAGTAAATAAATAAGCAAATTAAAACTAATCCAAGTTTAAATAGTACAACGGAACAATGCAAGAATATTGTGTGATTAATAAAGAAAAAAAACAGGTCTGAACAAGTTAATGTTATGTCATTTCGGTCAAGGTGATTTATAAGTGATATGTATGTATGTGTGTATTGTTTTTAAGGGTGGAAAATAATGTGACTTATATGATGAGAAACGATAGAGTTTCAATTTGTAAAATGATAGTGTGAAATTGTAAATACGATCAGACTGAATGACTAGGATAGATAGTCTAAGTAGGATGTATGGTAAGGCTTTCTTTTCTATTGAATGAAGTAGGATTAAGCATTATATGGAATGCTTCAGTAACTCTTCTTTCTTTGTAATTGGGAAAGCCTTTGTAAAATCAATTTGATGGTCGTTGAAAATGGCATGAACTGCTATGGCCAATTTAATTTGAAGTTTATTCAATTCTACAAAATTGTTAGAAAGTTTCTTTGTGTATCTAATATGTTCCTTGGCTCTAGTCAAGATTTTTCGAGATGACTCTCTAATATAGAAGGGATTACAATCGATACAACCCAATTTGTAGACGACATTCTGTGTGGACATGAACGTGATTTTATCTCTTAAGCGAACTAAAGTATTTCGAAGTGTGTTTGTTATTTGTCTGTGTTATTTTAAGATTCTTTGGAGTTCTTCTGTTCTACCATGACGGTATGGTAAAACTGCATGACCAATCCATGGCATTTCATTCGAATTATTATTAAAACTCATTAAATCGTCTTGTTTTAATATACTTCTGATAATCTTCACAGGAAAATTATTAAATTGTAAGATACTAATTACGTTCGTTTGTTCTTTATGTTTGTCTTCTTCTGATGTGATGATCTTGTTAGCTCTTCTAAAAAAAAGATTTAAGGCTAACGAGATCTTAACACTGGAAGGATGTGCTGAATGCAAGTCAATATATGACATTAACTTGTTCAGACCTGTTATTTTTCTTTATTGATCACACAATATTCTTGTATTGTTCCGTTGTACTATTTAAACTTGGATTAGTTTTAATTTGCTTATTTATCTACTCTGAAGAAGTGGCTTACACTAAGTGACGAAACGTCAGAAAATCTAATTGCTTTACTCATTGGGATATCTACAAATCTATTACTTTTATTTATCTATAACAATCTACCCAACGCTCAATGTATTCAAAATTATCAAATCAAATCTTGGTAATGATATTCTGTTACTTATTTCAGATGTCGAGTCGAACCATCTTGAGGATTTAATACAGACAAATAATGGTCTATATTTTGTGAATTTAAAAGCAAACATTTCTCGAGAAGAAGGCAAGTGACTGACTATATATTCATACAATGAAACGTTTTCATAACATACACATTGTTACATACTACTTAAATGAAGAATTCGATCCATTCGTTTGTATCTAAGGGCTTCTATTAGACCGATTTATATAAGTGTTCTGTAATGTACTGAATTGAATAAGTCTACTAAAATAAAATTGTTATAACTTGTGAACCTGCATGCCCTGTTATTGTATAACGCAACAATATCTCCGATGAGAGAGAAGAGAATTATCGATCGGATCAATGATGTGTAAAACACTTGCGAACAGGCTAGAGTCCTGATTGGTCTCACTTCCCTGTCTAGTCAAGCTAGTTGAGTCCAGAACACCAGTCTCAGCGTCTGCATTATGAATCATTTATTTGAAACATACTGAGTTTATATACCAATCAAACCGACCACAAAGTACCATAAAATAGAAAATAACATTTGTACAATATATAACAAAAATCATTATCATTTATAAAAGAAAATCATTTGAGTCTTGAGTCATAAACGTCATCAGTCAGTCAGCTACAACGTAGGACCAGGCACATATGTGCATCGGTCCAGGTTGCCATACCGCATCAGCACAACAAGATGAACACCGGATTCATAGCAGTGGTTAGGTCAAAGGTTGTAATATGTAAGAGAAAGATTGCATATAGAGATATAGTACAAGAAGAAAGAATTGGTTCTTAGAAAGAAAGATATGAAGTGATTTTAATCTCTTAGTTTACAGGAAGACAGGGAGTGTATACACCGACGCCATTGTGATCGATTCTGAGCCATGTCACCAAGAGTCTCCAACCATTGGTTACGATAGTCACGTCATAATAAAACTCAATATCGTTTGTGTGTGTGGTTAACCTTTAGATCGGATGACCAATTTCATACGGACTATCAGAGACTGTAACAATCAAATAACATTGTTGAAAGGTAATTTGATTATTATAATCTTTTATATTACTGAAATTAAAATCAAAGTAAAATGAACACAACTAGTGTGTATATATCTAGATTGAAATAAGGTTTGTTTATTTGAATCTGCTTGGTGATACTTCACAAGGATTCAATTCATGATAGGCTGTAATCATTTGATGTGAATGTGTAAGTGCACATGATTGACTCACATGCCAATGTTAGAAACAAAGTTAGTTCATACACTTAATTGCCTACAAATGTGTTGCTTGTAACGTTTATCAATGCACCCTTTTTCTTGGTAACTGCGACCAGTATGATAAATTAAGAATAGAAAATTCTAGTTGTTGTTGTTGATGTCCCATTTCCTTTGACCGATTGAATGATAAACTATTGATCCAGCTTGCTAGTATTGTCCATGAATACCACTAGTACAATGTGTCATTGATGTCGTAACATCAAACCATATTCATCCTATCTTTGTTAGATCAAATTATAAATAAGTGGAATACAACACACTCTTATGTTTGAAATGTAACCAGATCACCTTGTTCTTCAACCAAGTTATTCTACATGATCGTGTTTATTTCAGATGAAATCAAAAATTCCGATCCAAATGGAATGAAGAATATCGATGAATGTATGTGTAAAAATAATTGAGTTCTTTAATTACATTCATGATTCTAGACATTAGCTGCAGAAGTAATTATGTGACTGGTGATGCAGCCAATTATGCTTGGTCTTGTAAGAAAAAAAAATTGTTTTCATCCATTTGTTTAATTTCTATTCATGACATTCATGTTGATTGTTTGAATCCATTGACTAGAGAATCGATTTCATGTGTGAAAGTGGACAAAATTCAATGTTAGAAGATTTTATTCTTACATAATAAGATTACAATATAACTGATGCCATGAATTTGGCACCTTGAAGTTTATCTTTGATAACTCTGACAAAATAATACAGCTCCTTACTTACTTACTTACTTACTTACTTACTTACTTACTTACTTACTTACTTACTTACTTACTTACTTACTTACTTACTTACTTACTTACTTACTTACTTACTTACTTACTTACTTACTTACTTACTTACTTACTTACTTACTTACTTACTTACTTACTTACTTACTTACTTACTTACTTACTTACTTACTTACTTACTTACTTACTTACTTACTTACTTACTTACTTACGCCTGTTACTCCTCGTGAAGGAGCATAGGCCGCTCACCAGCATTCTCCATTCAACCCTGTCCTCGGCAATCCTTTCTAGCTCCGTCCAGTTGTAATTCATCGTTTTCATATCTGCTTCTATTATCCGACGCAATGTGTTCTTTGGCCTAATACAGCTCCTCTGTGACAATAAGTACAAGCAGAACACTATGATAAAATAGTTACTTGTAATGAGAGGCTACTAAAGTTGGTTCTGTTAGTGGACAGTCTACATTGAGGTGTTAAATGTTGATGTGTGCATACAATATTTCTAATTGTCTCTGTATTATAAATTCTTTTGCATACCACAACAAAAATCCATCAAATTGAATTGAGTATGCAATATTGCATCAAGACTGATATGCTTAAGCAATTTTGACTTTTATTCTGATGCTGTGAGCAAACATATTGCAGAAGTATTCACTTGTTAAGAAAACGATAATAGATGATGTTCGTTAGATATTGAAATCGTGCCTTAAGGAATCATCGACTATCAGTAGAGTTTTTACTCAACACCGATAAACACTGAATCTAGAACATTCAGACGACATGCTGAGTACCAAGACTTTAGACCAGTAAAACGTTATCAATTGGTTCATTGAAATTCTCATCTCATGTCGAACAAGTACTTGGAACAATTTAAATGGTTTGAATATCGGTCCATTTGTTTGTGTCTCATCAGTTCGCAATATATTCACTCGTCCATCAAACCACATTCAATGATCGCTACTACAACAGGTATAAATTACTCATAAACATACATATTGAAACCAATTCAATTTGCAATCTGCTTTTAATGCTTGTTATAGATATCCGAAAAATGCAGGCAAATTACAGGCGACAATATCGTGAGTAATTTCAATGACCGAATACTCTTCAATATTTGGAGCACATTGACATACATTAAACACTGTTTCATAGTTTACTATAAGGTGATGAGACATATATGAAACACCGTCTCGTACAACTTCGAAAATTCTTTGAAACGAATGATGCTGTGCTTTGAATTTTAATGTTTTTAGTATGAATGGTCTAACACTCATCGATTCATGATGTCAATCCAAAACTTAACTGTCTACACAACCTCACTTTGATATTGAGTATTTGTTTACCAATGAAATTCAAGACCCCTATTTTATCCTTTTTGGGATCAGTCGGCATAGATACATGTTGATCTCTATGTTGTTGTTCACACTGCGGCTCAAATATAGAAATTCTTGCTTCAAACCAACACTTTGAAAGAAACTATGCTTAAGTTTCAATGAGAACACCAACACTGGTAGAAAGCGCGTTCAGCTGACAGATCTGGAGCTGAAAAAATGACTGTCCTGAGTTTCACATATTTCAACATATCAGATATATCAAAATTTAATTTCCAGACAATACTCTCGGAAAGTTCCTATGGAAACAGTGCCTCATCAAATTCGATCCTGAATACTGTCCATAGGGAGTCGTAAACCATTATTATTATCTATTTAAATGTTGTAATTACATACCATGTTATAGTTTGCTATTTGTTCAATATCTCTGATTCTATACAGCGCAAGTTTACTTGACTACACCGGAACTGATTGCATGTTTTCAAGAAAGTGTTAAAGATTATAAAAGTAAGTCAAAATATTGAATGGCACGCAGGTCATTTCTGTCGATCTCAAACGTTTGACCACTACTTCTTATGTAGTCATGTTGTTTGCCTATCAATAACTACGTTTTTTAATACTTTACAGACCAAAACATGGTATAAATCACTATTGGTCATTAGTTCTGTAGATAGAATTGTTTCAACTCGTTCACAATCTCACTTTCGTCTGTCAAGTATATCACGCTGTTTGTCTAGTTCACAACAAGTAGTGCTTTCGTGATCAGCAATTACGCGTTGTTGATGCATGAACGTCGCTTATGTGATTATAACGAAGGAAAATTAATTCCACATTGGGTCTTATCGACCTCTACTTCACACACTTTATGTCCGTGTCATCGTTGCTAATTGCAGTATGCAAAATCTAGTGTTTAGTTAACATCGATAATTTAGCTGAGGCTACATGAATATCTTGAGCATTTTCAATTATGTAAGTGTCATTTTCATCTCTAATTAATTGTAGGTTCTATGCAACACAAGTACATCACGTCGACATATAAAGCCGCAGATTTGGTAGGGAATCTTAAATTCATGATTAGAGTTTGTGTGGTGACATCCAATATTGGAATTTATTCAGTTTGTGTGTATTGATTATTTCAATCTTCCATTGATGTGGTGATAACACAACTGATCGGTCTGTTTTGGCAAATGTGCATCTTGTACGGATTGCCTCCATATTGTCACTGAGTCACAAGTGATTTAGGCAGAGATGGATGGTGGCTAGTAGAATGTCGAAGTGAACATTAACCCTAGTGTGTAGAGATATACAAATGAGAAGTCTCTCATTTCTGTGTTAGCCATCATACATCTCTGCTCATAATTCATTTCCCATAGATCAACATGGTTTCTGGGGAAAATGACTGAATATGAATCTGATGAGGTGAATAGTCTTTTATTGTTTCTTTTATCAACTAATTAGAAATGAGGACGGATCACAGTGAAACAATTTGCAATAAGCTGATACCATACAGAACGAAAGGTAATCATATTTAAACTGTCTCTCTTGATGTTATTGAATATGACAGACATAACCTGACATTCCTTACCGAAACTCATACTCCCCATTACAAACGTGTATTCTAAAATATCTACTTGCCTTTCTTTACCACGCTGAACTGGATTTCCCTCAATCAGGAAATCATAGAACCGTCTATGTCCTGTTTAGTAATAAGTTTATGTAATCAGGTATCGAAATGAGACAGAAGCTTCATCACCTCCGATAGCATTGCAACTCAAAATGAATAACAACGGGTGTAGTACACATGAAGGAAGTATTTCATGTTACAGTACAAATCAAGTCAATGGAATCAAAGATGAAGTCACTATTTTGATTTCAAGGACTAAATATTTACGATCACATTGACTATTATGTGAGAATATGGGTAAATGTTAAAGAGATTGTTAAGTTTGTTTTACATTGTTCCTATATGTTCCTTTTCTACTCTTTTGTATGTTGTTTTATACTACTTATTTACATTCAGTAGGCAGCTGTATACCCAACAATTTTCACACTTATGTTGTAACTCAAGTTGTACTGTAACATTCTGGAATGTTCACATATATCTTTAATGTTTATTTTACTTATAATTGTATTTATCATTATAATCACTGTAATTTAATTACTGTAAAGGTTATCCACAGTTTTATGCATTTGTTTGAATGCAACAGTTTCCATATTGTTTGCTCTTGGTTCGAGTTTCGGTTGTTCATAAACTGTTACCAAATTTAGACACAGCTATCGGCTGTCTTTGGACTATCGTATGTTGTAATCATTCTTTATGTTACTCTTACAGGAAGCCTTTGCTATTTTCATTCTTGAACGACGCGTTTAAACGCCTAGACACCTCACAAGTTGAGGTTTGTAACTAAATTTTGTGTATTATTTAATAAAGAACCGCTTTTGTAGACAAATCGTTGTTTTGGAACTTCGATTTTGCGCGTATCTCAATCGGGGTTATTTGGACGCTTCGATAGAATTAACAGTTCTCAACTTTGGTCTCATTTGGTGTGGATACAGTTCTGAACTTTAGTCCTAATTGGAGGGAATACTTGCTGTAACGAATTTGGTCGTAATCCTGTTTGGTTCATTCATCCCAACGATGACTAGAACGAGAAGAATGAAGTACAACGATGACAGTTCCCAAGACACAGACAATTCCAGTGCTGAAAATATTATTCCTTCACTTTCTAAGGTGAATTCATCTATTCCTTTAAATCTTGCCTTTGATATTGTTAAACCTAACCCCAAAGACAGTTGCTCGGTAGGAGACAACTATGTAGACACTAGATACAGCGTAGAAGACGAAATGGTTTCTAGGGAAAGGGAAGTAGAAAAGATTAAGCTGGAGATTAGAGAACTCCAACTACGCAAGCGATTGTTAGAGCTAACTCCGAACTCTTCAAACAAAGTGAGAAGACCTAGGGAGATTACCGAGTTGTCGGGGTCTCGATCCAAGGATAAAACTCCAGTAGTTACAGCAAGTCACCGATACACCAATGTGCCTTCGAGCGATGAAATGCAATTCAAAGCACAGGTAGATAGTGTCAAGGCGCTATGTATGTCAGTAAGCTTACCGAAGATAGAAATCATGACATTTGACGGGAGCCCTCTGAAATTTTGGACGTTCATGAAGGGATTCAAGGTTAACATAGCTGACAGAGTAAATGATGACACTCAGAAATTAATGTACCTGATACACTATTGCGAAGGTATAGCAAAGGATGCTATAGAACACTGTGTTTTATTACCAGAAAAGGAAGGTTATACTGAGGCAATTAAAATTCTACATGAACGGTTCGGCAGACCACATGACATCGTGGATACCTATGCATTGTTAGATAATGGCTCAGACTCGACATTACTGCTTAGTGACGTGGCAAAGCAGGTAGGAATTTCTGGTACAGTGACAAGATTAAACATATCTTCGGTAATTGGAGCGTCATCTCAGAACGCTGAACTTACCAATTCCGAAATTGAGTCTTTAGATAAGGCCAACCGAATAAAAATCGAAGGTGCATATACTATAGATAACCTACCTATTAAAAGAGCAGAAATCCCACCAACGGACTTCCAAGAAAGATGGAAACACTTGAAAGGTGTACAACTACCCACCATAGCCTGTGACAAGGTTGGTTTGTTACTTGGTGTTGACGTTCCAGAGGCCCACTGGGTACTCGATCAGCGTATCGGAAAACCTAAACAACCCTATGCTTCACTAACCATATTAGGGTGGGCTTTATTTGGACCAACGGGTCAACTTAATAAAACTTCAGTCTTCATGAACTGTTTAAAAGCGAAAAATTCCTTTGAGGAGGATATTCTTAAATTATTTGAACATGAATTTTCTGAAAATAAGTACTCTGATAAGGTTACCATGTCCCTATGTGATAAGACCATTATGGAGATTACTGACAAACAAACAGTATTGCTCGATGGACATTATCAAGTGCCGATACCCTGGAAGGTGGATTGGCACACACTTCCAAGGAATAAGCGCGAAATAGAAAAACGATTAATTTACCTACGTAAAACGTTGCTAAAAGACGAACAGCTTCGGAAACAGTATACTATTATATTAGCTACCCACGAAAGTAAAGGATATTTGTTTCGAGTAACTCAAGCTATCGAAGAAGAAAGGTATTTTATTCCACATCCCGTATTTAACCCTAAAAAACCAGTTAAAGTTCGGATAGTCTTTGATTGTGCTGCTAAGTTACAAAACAAGTCTCTAAATGATTGTATATATTCTGGACCAGATCTTACAAACGACCTAGTGGGAGTTTTGCTTAGATTCAGAAAGCATAAGATTGGATTGTCAGCAGACATTGAAGAAATGTTCCTCCAGGTACATCTACCCGAAAAGGATACAAAGGCCTTCAGCTTTTTATGGTACCCCGATGGCAATCTTGATTCTCCTCCTGAGGTCTATGAGTTGCATGTACACCCTTTCGGGGCTACGTCCTCACCGTTTTGCGCTACCTATGCTTTAAGACGCACAGCTACAGACCACCGAGATTTGTTCGATGAAAAAACACAGTCTACCTTACGAGAAAATTTTTATGTAGACGATTGTCTAGTCTCAGTAGAAACAATATCAGAAGCTGCTGAGTTAGCAAAGAACCTAGTGAGACTCGTGGCACTTGGAGGCTTCCGTTTACATAAATGGGTTAGTAACGTAAATGAAGCGCTGAATGACGTCCCTATAGGTGATAGATCAAACAATTCAGTTCGTATACCAGGTTCAACAGAACGTATACAGAGAACTTTAGGACTTTGTTGGCACACGCAATCCGATTGTTTTGCATTTGACGTAAATCTTCCCGAACGCCCGATCACTAAGAGAGGCATTCTATCATGTGCATCATCGTTATATGATCCGCTTGGATTTCTAGCGCCTTTATCACTTACCCCTAAACGAATTCTGCAACAGCTATGTCGTAAAAACTATGGGTGGGATGAGATGATAGATGAAGAGTCACGATTGAGTTGGGAAGGTTGTTTAGAAGCAAAGAGTTCTATCGAGGACGGACCCACGCCACCCTCTTCTTTGACCACAGTAGCGCCTGAAAACTCTCCAAATCGTTTGTTGCCGTTCATAGATGATCCTGGTTTATGCCTTAAACACTCTCCTGATGTGTCACTCTTAGTCGATGATGATGATGTACGCTTACTCATAGTAACAGCAGCCGCTGTTGAGACTGAAGATTCCAGAGTTCATCAAGGTTTACCGTCAGTTCGTTCTTTTGGATTTAACACTCCACCTGATTCAAGAAGTAACCGACTTATAGACACCTTTGATTCTGTATCTAAAGCGACAGACGAGAATTTAATGGATTTAGAACAAGTTATTTCATTACCAGCTGTTGACGATGAGTACCTTCTAAAAACTGCCAACGATCGTCATGTCGATACAGCAGTGAATATTGACCTTAGATGTATTTCTCCTCCAGACAAAATTCTTCCAACAGATAGCGGCGAGTTAATGTCATCGAAAACATCTGTTATGTTCTCTGCCGAAACAGATCTCCCTAGTGTTTCTGACGTGAACGATAGTGCTAAGTCTGTGATACTACTACACGAGTCATCAATTAGTTGCAAAGCAACAACAACTCAGTTCTCTGCAAATATGAAACTTGTATCTCCTGTAGTGGCGTCTGCTGAGAGTTCTATTGACATCAAGCGTGAAACAGAGAATCAGAAAGATGATTGTTTTATTCAGTATGCTGATGATGATAAGAAGTTTAAGACAACTGTATCCATGTCTCCTTTAGTTGGGTTAGACAAGCAGACACAACATCCATTACCAGACTTTAAGGATAGTAGAGTAGCCGAAGAAATGACTCATCGGAACATAGAATGGCACCATAACACTCCTTACGCAAATCATCATCGAGTATGGGAAAGATTAATAGGAAGCATACGCAGACCTTTGAGCGCAGTATCTATGTCCTACGAGACACTCACCACCTGTTTGGCTGAAGCAGAAAGAATACCTAATGGTAGACCACTCTTACAGACGCGAACAAAATGGACACAAGGAAGACGAGATTTACAAGTTCGCGGTCCAGTCTTGATTATTGAGGACACTTATGCACGAAATAACTGGTCTAAAGGCCTCGTGGTAAGTTTTGACCCAGGAGGAGATGGTCTATGGAACCAAGCGAAGATCAGAACGTGGAAGGGTACAATTATTAGAGGCATATGTAAAATTTGTTTATAAGAAGGAGCTGATGACCGAAAAGTAGAGGATAGAGAGACTTTTCAGAGTGACTGTGGCTAGAGTAAATCGTACCATTGTCACCTCTGAATGTTTTTATGTTAATACCTAATCAGCGAAAGTAAGGAAAGACATGCTGTCTTTGGGGGGCGGTGTTAAGTTTGTTTTACATTGTTCCTATATGTTCCTTTTCTACTCTTTTGTATGTTGTTTTATACTACTTATTTACATTCAGTAGGCAGCTGTATACCCAACAATTTTCACACTTATGTTGTAACTCAAGTTGTACTGTAACATTCTGGAATGTTCACATATATCTTTAATGTTTATTTTACTTATAATTGTATTTATCATTATAATCACTGTAATTTAATTACTGTAAAGGTTATCCACAGTTTTATGCATTTGTTTGAATGCAACAGTTTCCATATTGTTTGCTCTTGGTTCGAGTTTCGGTTGTTCATAAACTGTTACCAAATTTAGACACAGCTATCGGCTGTCTTTGGACTATCGTATGTTGTAATCATTCTTTATGTTACTCTTACAGGAAGCCTTTGCTATTTTCATTCTTGAACGACGCGTTTAAACGCCTAGACACCTCACAAGTTGAGGTTTGTAACTAAATTTTGTGTATTATTTAATAAAGAACCGCTTTTGTAGACAAATCGTTGTTTTGGAACTTCGATTTTGCGCGTATCTCAATCGGGGTTATTTGGACGCTTCGATAGAATTAACAGAGATCAATGTGACTCTTTGTTATTCTTTCGCATTCCATCTAGTATTATTATACAGTGGTCTGAATTAGTTCGATACTGAAAACACGTTAAATGATATCATCAAATAAACAATATTTGTGGATGATAATAATAATAATCGGATAATCAAAATAATTAAGGCCAAGGTAACGATAACGATAAGACGTACTTCTTTTGTACCTGCTCTTGTGGAGCAAGGTACATTGGCCATAGCCAGCGCTCGCTTTCAACTCGGATACGAGAACATATCCCAGCTTGGTTCTATAAGGGTAAAAGGAAAACAGTTAGGAGTTCCATACTTGAACACCTAATCGACTGTAACCATTCTACAGATCCACAATCTGATTTTAATGTTGTTTATATGATTCGTTCAAATCTACCCAGATTTCTTCGTATCGAACTCTTAAAAACAGCCGAAGCTCTTACAATCCAGGAGCTTCAACCAGAACTATGCGTATAAAAGAAGTACGTCTTATCGTTATCGTTACTTTGGCCTTAATTATTTATGGATGTTTTCCTAACCGGAATTATTTTGTCTTTTTCAGGTATAAGAGAAATAGATCAGATTATTCGTTGGAAATATTATGATGTCGAAGAATTGAACATTAAGTTCTGTAAGATAAAACATTTGAATATTTTTTGATTGATTTATCCAGTAATTGTGTCAGGTCCATATATGTAATTGATTAAACAATGATTATCCACAAACTCTAGTCTGCAAAGCTTTGTAGCGTGGTGTCGAGTTGAGGTTAACTATGAACACCGCTACCAAGAAACACGTGCCAAATAAATCAGAAGGCGTAAGAAGCTCGTTCCAAATGACTCCATAAAATCCCCGAGAAGCCAAATATCAGAAGACAATTAATGGACCAAGTCGAGATATATTTGTTGGCGATCTCGTGGTATCGAAAGGATACCGAGATCGTGCCAGGATACAAGCTTGGTTACAGAACGTAACCGAATTCGCGCGAAGTCACAATCAAAGTGTAAGAATCAGAATGGAAGCACAATATAGCTGTCATTAGCACAGTCAAACAAAAGCACATTAAAACAAACACTGGTACAGTTGGTTATAATAATAATTGTTTTTATTAAACCAGTCGTGTTCTCGTGATAAATGTGAGTCACTACAGCTTCATCAAGACACTGATGCCATGAATAACATTAAACAGTCTATTGAGACTAATCTGAATTCGAATATTATTGCGCAACTGACCCACCATATTTGTGACGATTCTCAATTTAAATATCAAGGCGAAGATTGTGAGATCGCGTTCCACATTGCAGAATAACTCGACAGCATGGAATAAGCAAAGAAATTACAAGTATTCACATTAACATTGTTAAACCAGTAACATGTATCGGACAATTGCTCATACAAATAATAGATGTGACATAAACAGGAAACAATCACCAATTTATTTTCTCTGTCTCCTCATCGATGATGAGATGACTGTTGAAGTGAATAAACACTCAGTCATTTGATGATGTATTTCATTTTCCCAAATTTTAGTTAACCATAGATTTTTGTCACAAGCAATCAAATTGACAAGTGAGTAACCCTATTGAATCAAATTTGCTAACAATGGTTATATGAAACAAGATTCGATGGAATAGTACTGTATAAAGACGAAATATATTGTGTGCTTGGATAATGGAAGTAAGCAAAATGGAGTTACAAACTATTACAGGTCAATTCATTAGATACAACACATGATTCTTGTTGAATTGAAATATCTGTGTCAAAATAGTTGCTTGACATACGGTCTAGTGAATAGTAAATATGGATAAATGTTTACGATTACAGTTCATACATAATCACATGATGATTTTCTGTTCCATGGCTTGAGTGGGATCTACAACATATGTGACTCTATGAATACATACATGATGATCAAGATCTACTAGACCGTTTCACTTTTGTCAAATCGTTCATTTCAAATGTACACTTGTGTGACTTATCATACTTAATTTTCTCTGGTTAGCACTTTTTTTTAGCGAGCTAGTTTTCTACAGGATGGAGTCGCTAACCCCATGCCCAACCCTCCTCCTTTATCCGGGCTTGGGACCGGTAGTAGCCCCAGAGGGGTTCCAGGTGGAGTTGTGTGACTTATTATATTACTAATTATTTATATGTTTCCTTTTGAATTTTAGGTCAATATTCAAAGTAAATGAATTTGGATTTGGGAATGATGATCTGGACTTCACTCATGTTTCATTTACTCATATGTTGTAACAATTAATTTACTGTCAAAATAACAAATCACAAATTTCTTCTTTCATTAACAATATTAACCGTTAGTATGAATTAATTATTAGTTATTCATGATCATCACATTGGTGCAATAAAGGATCGTAGGGTCTGCAGTTGAATGTCTATAAATCTGTGTTCACCTGAAATGAGAATTTGACTAGTAGTTCGTGGAAATGAGAATAGTGTCTAGAACATGGTGAATAAAACCGATGGATAAATAGCATTTCTGAAAATGACGACTGATTTCTGTAAATCACCATGTTCACTGCAATTTACTCATCTCATTCCACATTCTGAAACTAATATATCAAACTGGAGTAAATGTATAAGTATGAACAGGCCTGGTTCAGATGCAGATGTAAAGGCGAGGATTGGCAAAGCAAGGGCCTCATTTCTACAATTGAAGAACATATGGAACTCAAATCAATTGTCAACCAATATCAAAGTCACAATCTTCAATACAAACCTCAAGGCAGTTCTACTGGACGAAGCTGAAACTTGGAGAACTACTACAACCATAATCAAGAAGGTACAAGTATTCATAAATGGCTGTCTAAGCAAGATACTCAACATCCATTAGCCGGATACCATCAGCAACAGTGTTCTGTGGAAGAGAACAAACCAGCTTCCAACTGAAGAAGAAATTAGGAAAGGACGATGGAAATGGATAGGACATACATTAAACAAATCATCAAGCTGCATCACCAGTCAAGCCCTAACTTGGAATCTTGAAGGGAAGCGGAAAAGAGGAAGACCAAAGAACACATTACGTCGAGAAACAGAAGCACATATGAAAAGGATGAATAGGAGCTGGAAAGGGTTGCCCAAGACAGCGATGGATGGAGAATGCTGGTAGTTAGCCTATGCACCTTCACGAGGAGTAACAGACGTAAGTAAGTAAGTGTCCTTTCACTATGAGTTTCTCTAAACTGATCATTTACTACAATTAAAACAAACATTCGACAAGTATCGAAATCAAAATCGGGACTCGAACACAGTACTGCTCACGTTAAATGACTAACACCTCATTCACCGCTATGTCCGAAGGATTAGAACCGGCTAATGCAACGAATATCTGCAACACAACCAAACCATTCCACTGCACTGTAGCCTGGCTAATTAAAGATAGAAGACCACATTCAGTCGGGAAAACATTTCTTCTACAAGCGGTCCGAAAGAACGAACGAACAAGGACTGAACTCACGCGAATATACGAAATACAAAAATGCCCATGAAAAACGTCACAAAATAGCACACTGGAAGAGAAGTTGAACCAGTGACGTTCAAGGTCCTTTCAGATAGGAAACACAAACTGAATGTAAAAATGAGCGTTTTTGGCATGAAAATAAGAAGTGAGAATTGGCTGATACGCCATTTGTTCCCTTAGGATTCTGCAGCCAGCCCATGTGCACCATCGGTTTGGAATGATGGTTTCCCAATTCCGGAATCGGAACCATGTAAATGACAACTGATGGATAGTGTACAAATGAAGGATTTATTGTGTGGTTTCTAGAATTTACAAAGAATTTTGAACTGGAAAATGAATTGGTTTACCACACTTATTCTCCGTTCACTGCATGTTTAGTTATCATAGTGTCTAGTTCGTCTTGATGCGTAGAGAATTAAGTTATCTGATCGACTAGTTATTGTAGGACATGGGGAAATTTTCGATGTGTTTTTATAAGTAAGTAAATACGGACCACTATAAATGAAAATTAGGATTGATTAAAGCTGATCACGTCAAGCGACAGGATGTTATTAGAATATATTCGTGTGTTCATATTATGGACAAGACAACATGTTATCCAATTATATATGGGGAGTAATAACCTGTAAAGTTAGTATACAAAGGAAAATACAGGACAATGATGCAACCAGCTTTCTGACAGCGAAATCGACATTACAAACTGTTTTCATACGCATAAATCTGACAGTATATATCCAATAACTTTGCAATTCAAAGGTGATATATGTATACATCTGTCGATGGTTTTATGAATAGTCTGCGACGCTTAGTGTTATGCATCATGGTTATAGTCAATTGCATATTTTAGAACGGATGACTTCATATTTTTATCCTGTCATTTACCAAGACAAACGGATCATTGTTCACTTATACGTCAAATGATGCTTCTCAATGAATAGCCTATGTATTACCTAGCTGTATAGGAACAGATAAACTCATACATTCACATTGAACTGGTCAAAACCCCTTCTGATAATAATCATCTGCTCACTAGTGACTGACTTCAAGAGATACTACTGGAGTTCAACCAGGTCTGTTCTGAGATATCAACTCACTGAAGACAATGGTGTACGGTGGCGCAACTTCGTGGATTGGTTGAAGTTAGACATCAACACCGTTGGATGCCGGCTCAGTCGTCTAGTTGGTTAAGCGCCTGACGCGAGACCGATAGGTCCTGGGTTCGAATCACGCCGGGGGCGGGATCGTGGATGCGCACTGCTGAAGAGTCCCATAGTAGGACGAAACGGCCGTCCGGTGCTTCCAGATTTTCCATGATGGTCTAGCCTCAATTGACTCATGATTTCATCTATTAGAATTTATAAAATTTGTCTCTCAATATGTGAACATGTAAAATAAAATATTTGTTTCAACAGCACATGGGTTATGAACAACCTAGAGTATAGGAAAACATTGAATTGATCACAGCGGCCATACCGGATAAGTGTAGAAAAGCTTTGAAATTAATGAGATACACAGCCAAGT